CTATCAACACACATCTCGCATGCAACCTAATCCTAAAAGGTATGTACCTAATCATTGCCTTGAGTGTGCACCTAATTGGTAGATCCAGTATATTATTAGCATGTTTATTGACAACATTGTTAACTAATTAAGACAAGTAAGTAGAAATGAATACTCAAAATATATATCGTATTTTTGAATCAATTAGGAAATTCTTTTTTCACTATCTTTTGGACTTCTATTGTACTTATGTACTTAAACTGTTAATGAAACTCCTGTAAAATTTAGGGTTTTGGATTTATTTTGCCTAAAAGGATGACCAATATGTAAGAACATGAGGTGACAGTCGAACCAAGTGTTTTTCCTCCATACTTTAAAGTAAATGATTTTATATATTCCATATAATATAGACAAGCTAACTTGTCGAAAGTGTTCCAACCTGATAGCACACTGTACGCAGGAAAGTCATCAATTACCCAAAATAATGTTGCCCTCATTATGAAGTTTTGTTTGGTGGAGATATCATATGTAATTACTCTATTTTCTCATAATAAATTTAAATCATCAATTAATGGTTATAAGAATACATCGATCTTTTCTATTGGATTATGTGGCCCTAGAATGGTAAGCATCAGAAAATGTAAGGAGTAATCATACGCAACTCTGGGAGAAAATATAATGGGATGAATATCACAGGCCAGTATGAGTAAGGTGAAGCATACTGACTAAATTGAGTAAAATTATCTGCACATAAATCTAATTTTATTTTATATTTCTTGATTCTATGGCGAAGATGGGATGTGTACGATCAAAGTGTTTTTAGGCCTTTGCTATAACGGATGTGTAATAACACCTTCTTGCAAGATGTGTTCATTATGACATCTCATATGTGTAGCATATCTCATGGATGCATATAATCATTATAGTCTATGAATTATGGGTAAGTAAAACATGTTACTGACTGGTTTTCCTTCAACTTTTTTTGTCACAAATTTTGATTTAAATTTTGGTGTATTACAATAACGACATGCAATCTCTGATAGATCATCTTTATAATATAACATGTATCCATTGACACAACAATCGATATTTGTCTATGTCAAATCAAGATTAGAAACCAAATTCTTTGTCTGATATAAATTTGTATAAATTATCTTATCTACCGAATTGGTTTCCTTAAGCAACCAAACAAATTGATTAAAGCATTCACAGGAGATCTTATATTCTACCTTGATGCTTAATATCTTTACAGCAATAAATAACTCTGAGTGAGTGTTGCACCTCTTTCATATTGGTTGTTGGACAGCATGTAATAAATCATAATGAGCTGAGCCACATAACCAGCCCATCCAGTTAATTAAAATTGAGCTGAGCCAAACAACCAGCCCATCCAGTTCCTCTGCTACCAACTTTTCATTTGCCTTTGACCACATATTTTGTTTTATATAGCAACATCATTAATTTCTAGGCAGTGTGGGACTAAACTCCCTTCATCATTTTTTTTCTTGGGTCACGGAGGTGAGAGAGAAGCAGGTTTGGTCTGTTTAAGTAAAAACATGGCTGTTATCTAACCATGCATGGTCACGGAGGAGAGAGAGAGAAGAGCTAGCCCAAATAGCATTCCATTAATTTATTTTTGTTTTTTTTTATAAATCAATAATAATATATATATAACCTTAAAACTATATTATTTTTAATATGATGTGGCCAAAGGTTAATAATATTATTTTTGTTTTCTTATACATAAATTATTATCTAAGTTAATAATATTTTCTAATTTAATATGATTAACATTTTGTTATCTAATATTTAGTAATTTATTTTTGTTTTCTTAAAACATTGTTATCTAAGTTAATAATATTATTTTTGTTTTCTTATACGAGCATGTTCACGAGCTCTAAACAATCTTGTTCATGAACATAAACGAGCCGAACACTAGGGTGTTCAAGATTGTTTATTTAATTATCGAGAATTGTCAAAGTTGTTCAAGCTTGTTCATTTAAAATTATCAAAAGAACATAAACAAGCTCTTATCGAGCCGAGCCACGAGTAGTTCGTCGAACGCTCGATTCATTTGCAGCCCCTCCCATTTATGAGAAATACAAAAAGTTTTAGCCTGCCCGCCATGTGAAAAAGGAGTATACGATCGGTGTCGGGTGACACTGCGGCCATTACCTTCAATCCTACCACGGCAAGAAAGGTGTGTATAGGTCTTCAAGGGAGTACCTATGTGAAAAAGCAGTTTACGCCAGAGATAAGTATGAAAAAGTAATTTAATTACATGAGAAAGCCATCTAAGACAACTATCTTTCTCTAATCTTATCTTTTCATAGGAGCTACTGCAATATTTTCACGTATATGCTCATTTCATATCATGTCTCTAATCTTAGCTTAATGATATGTTTCTCTTTTAATGACCTACATTTTATACCATAAAGCATTGCAAGTCTCACCACATCTTATAGAATTTTCCTCGTAAGTATGAGGGGAATTTTCTATCACATATTGCAAGTCTCGCCACTTGTTCTCTTTTTTAGGATTTTTCTCAATTCAACCCTCTACTTTAACCATCCCATTAGAATTCTACTAGTAATATACACATCAACTCCATTTCTAGACTCATCAACAAGAAGAATATAATCAACAAAATGCATACACCGGTAAAATTTCTTGCAAATGTTTACCGAGAACATTCATGATAAAAGGAAAAAAACTTGCAACAGGTTTCCGGCAAATGAGGCGGTAAACATCGGCAAATGAGGTGGCGGACGGATCTCAAAGGAAGCGGCGTTCAACAGAGGCGACTGATGCGAGTGGAGCGAACCGAAATGAGGAGGAAAGAAAATGAGAAGAAAGACGACGCCAAGAGGGAAATAGGGCCTTCTCTGTTGGATTTTTCTTGTGTATTTGCCGCCAAAACGGTTACCATCAAACTATCCGCCAAAAAATATTCATCGAGTTTAAGTAGGCAAACAAAATATGCGCCATATACTCTGCCATTAATTTCCGGCGGACAATACACCGGAATAAACTGTTGGTCTTATAAATAACGACGAATAGTCCAGCAGATTATCCGCTAGTAAATTATCAGCGGCTATTCCGCCGGAAAGTCCGTCGTTTCAGTACCGACGTAAAATACGTCGGTTTGTTCGCCGCTTTTACATGTGTATATATATATCTGCCGAAAAGTCCGACGCTAATACAAAGTTTTGCTATAGTGAAAATTGAAAAAAAAAAAAATTGTAGAGAGTAATTTGAATGTTTCTAAAAATAAAATTTATCATGAATAAATGAATTTAGAATTTAGAATATGTTAATTATAATAAAATAAATTTTTACTTTGTATCTCTATTAATGCATGATTGGGATTAATATCTTTATTATATTTTTATTTGGGCAAGCATCATACAAAATACTTTTTCACCAAAAGATTTGAATCTAATTCAACCCCTATTTAAAACTCTTTCAATCAGTGATCAAGTTTTTGCTTTGAACCCAATTCTAACCTTTCGACTAAATTTATGTACTGTCCACATAATGCAGTTCTTTGCATATGATAAGTAGCTAAAACTAACGACGCAAATTAAGAGCAAAATCTACTAAAAACATTTGTGGCCTTGACCCATTACCAAGGGCAGAATTAGCTTTACTTTTAAGGGTGCGAGAAGCTGGCAGAGGACATTCAAAGAAGTGCAGGCGGTGAGGGCTTTCAGTGGGCTGTAAAGTGGGAACTTTTATTTGGTCCGGTGAACGCACGCAACTCTACGTTCGGCCACCAGTAGAATCGCGCCACGCGTTTTCATTATTTACCGCGCGCCCCGACAACCCGCTCCGGGTCAAGTCGTCGAGCCGCGCGGTAAAGAGTAAGAGCACGTGGCGACATGTTATTGACGGCCGAACGTAGCTCTACGTCCGGTCAGAGGACGTAATAATTGTTCGTAAAGTGGCGACGTCCAAACAACAAGCGGCAAATCATCTGGCGTCTATCGTTTGACAACCATGAACAACATGAGATAAATAATGAGATGTTGCGCCTATGTGAATAAGATCCAGATTGGATGAAAATAAAACACTTTAAAGGGGGGCAATTTTCCATTATTACACCTCTTTTTTGTAAAACTCAATTTTGAAATTCTAAAAAAGATTCACATTTTTTTTTAAGTACTTTAATGAAAATGCAACTTTCTTTCATATTTTGATATTTCGACATAAATTTGAATTAATTTTGTTTATGTTTGTAACGTCTTTTTTTTTCCTTTAATCATCATAAATTTCCTTTTTTTTTTTAACTTGTTTTTTTAATGAAAGTGTCAACTTATAATTTAGGCTCTAAAATGAAACAATTTAATTTAAATTCAGTCATCGTTTTTAAAACACTTGTACTCTTTTCATACTACTTTGTGCATAATTTAATAACTTGTATTATATTAATTTAATTTGTTTGTACTCTATATTTTATAATCTACATCCAAAACTTAAGCCTGCATATAATACAAAACATATCAATATTTGTTAAATACCAGAAGTCTAGTTCATGTTAAGTAATATGTATCGAAAAACTTAAAATTCGTGGTTTGTTTACTTTCTAATTTGACTTTTTCAAATAGATGACGAGATTAATTAATTAATCGAGCTTGACCTTATGTTTAAGCTTATTTGTAATAGTTCAAGCCATCTCATTTATTATAAAAGACAGAACATTATTATAATTTAAATAATTACAACATTAAAATAATAAAAATAGAAGAAAATAATAAAGAGTAAAATAAAAAAGTAAAATATAATTTTCAATTTTTTTATTAAATATTAAAATTAAAATTCAAAATGCTAACATATTTTAAATATATTTTTTATTAATATTTTTTAAACAAGTTACATAATAACGAGCCAAATCAACCCTTATTCAAACCTTGCTCGTTAACTCATCAAACTCAACTCACGAGCCATTTATCGAATTAAACTTAAACCAACTCACAAATCAGCTTAATTCACTTACACCCCTATTGCATAATACAACCATAAAAGCAATATTAATTTCCGATCATTTGATTGGACTGGAACAACGAATACACAAGAGAACCAAATTCAGTTTCATAACCAGTAGAAGACAAAAACAAAGCCAGATTAGACTAATTAACGACGAAGCTCATACCAGGTATAATTAGTAGCTTCTATTTTGATACAAACGGCTACATGGACAGAGAACTCGCTTTTACTACTAGAAATATCAGCTGGTCGCTAATCTAATTTCACCAAGCCCTAACTATACAAAACTAGCTGGTAGATTTACTAAAGTTAGGTATCCATAACCAGTGCTGTACAATAGAATAGAAGATTTCATCAATATTGCAGGGCAGTCATTCGTCTATAAGCTACATATCCATGTCGATGAACAAGCCATCATCCACTCCTTCATCTTCCAGCATCTTCTCATCAGGTAGACCATCAATAGCCAAGTTGCTGCCATACCCAAAAATATAAGAACTCTGTTACTCTAAAACATGAGAGATTATTCTGTACGTACACCGGACGGGAGAACCGTCCGGTTTACGCTTAGGTACCGAGCTAGGGCCGAGGGAGGGGGGGGCCAAGGGGGGCACGAGCCAAAATAAGAAAAATATATAACCATAGGAAACACAAGTAGTTTTTTTAACTATCCGAAATAAGAAAAATAAATAAAATAAAACAATTAAATTGAAGTGACGCGTTGATTGGTTTGAAAAAAAAAATCCAACAGATTCAAATTCAAAGATTTATGAATAGCAGCTATGGCGGCGAGCCTTTCTGCTCGTCTACGGCGCATAAGCATATCACTTGAGATGGATTTGGTGGATTAGTTGTTGGGGTTTGTTGATGTGTGCTATTATAGGAGGCGGCGAAGGAGGAAGCGAAGCTAGTGGCGTTGACTCGCAATGACTTTGACTCGAAGAGGAGAGCAAGTGAAGTTCATAACTTGTTGGAAAAGTTTGTAGCTTTGTTGGTTTGTTTCCCTGTTTCTGGCTTTTCTTTGTTAAAATCTCAACTATAACTGTTTATATTTTTTATTAGAGCTTTAAGAGCTCCTTTGGTTAGATGTAAAATACAAAGCAAGCTTTAGAAAGTCATGTTTTTTATTTTGAGTCATTTTGAGAGATAAACTGAAATACTCACTTTTGAGAAATTAAAATAAAATGCATAGTTTTTCAAAATTTGATTTCTAACTTGAAGATATCACAATTCTTATATTTAATATTGTAAATTGTAAGTTCTTTACTATATTTTTGAATAATAATTGAAAAAAAAAATTAAAATTGTCTATGCCGGTATCATGCCCGAATTAAAAAAAAAATTAAGAGAAAGTTTTAATAAAATAATTTAGGCCCCCCCCAAGCAAATTTTCTGGCTCCGCCACTGATACCGAGTATCAAATACCGCTGGATACTAGCTCGGTTCCGGATGTGGCGCATTTTTATTGAGGTCTGGACTCCGAACAGAATAATTTTTCCTAAAACAGAGTTCATTTATATTTTTTATATTGCAAGCATCTAAAATATGTTGGGAGTTGGGAAGTCACCTTAAACAGCAACAGCGGAAGCTCAGTACGCGCTTGAGTTTCTTATTGTAGAAAAAGAAATGGAAGGACCAACTGCAGTGAATGGAGTACCAGAAGTCAGAATTGAAGTAAACCCATGGCTCTAAAAGTATTTCTATAGCAATGAAGCTTACATGGCTCCATTCTCAATGGAAGGGTCTCCATCAAAATCTGGATTGTAGCTGTAAACTTCACATTCCTCTAGCTTTATAACCTGCTTTTGGACCCAAAATATAGATCGCTGCTGCAAATATTTATTTTACTTGATTTCAAGATTTGAGTTAAAACTTCACCTCATCAATGGCCTTTTCCAAGCACTCCAGAAGAGAACCGCCATTAAGCTGGAACCACTCCTGAGAGGAAATATTGAGTAAAGCACGTTGTATATACACTAAGTATGCTTATGCGAACCAAAAGCCAAAATCACAGAAAAACAGAAATATTGGATTAAAAAGGATAACTAGACAAATGTAGTTTGCATAAAGCTCTAGTAAAGGGAGGGAGAAGGGATTTGGACAATTGAAGGGTGCTCAGTCCTAATACTGAAGGGATATGTGTGGAAAGCTGCTGATGCTCGGATCTAACTTGAGAAAGGAGCAAGCAGAACACGAGACTAGGAACAGATGATACTTGACTTTAAGATAACAACCTGCAGAAAGTAAAACAAAGGAAAACAGAGAAGAAGAAGAAGAGCATACGAAAAGCAGGAAAATATTTTCTGATTGTATTCAGTTGTTTCTGTTTTACTGCACATGTATATAAAGATGAGTGATAGCAATAGCGCAAGTACAAAATTGCCCTTCGGTGTGAATCTGATCAACAGCAGGAGAAGGTGGCTACGTATACATCTGACAAGCTGATGGAGGATTTATGGTGAGAAGTGGAAAGATGGTTTGAAGTTGTGTATTATCACTGCCCCTCAAGTTGAGGGGGGAACACACTGCCAACTTGTCGCTTAGGTACGTGAGTAGCTTAGGTAGGTGAATCGAGAGGTAGATAAGGCAAATAAGGCTTTGATGAAGATGTCAGTTGGTCTGTTGTTGAGAAATGCTGAACAGCTCATAGTTTTGTTGTTGATGTTTTCATGAATGAAGTGAAAATCAATTTCGATGTGTTTTGTATGGGCGTGAAAAACTGAATTATTGGCAATGGACATTGCTAAAATGTTGTCACGAAATAGCAGAGTGGCGTCCAAGGTAATGGAAAAGTCTTTGCAAAGCCGACGCAGCCAAATGATGTCTATTGTAGGTTCTACAAGAGTGATATTATGCTTCCGTAGATGAGCGTGCAATTATTGTTTTTTTACGCGCGAGGATAGAAGTTTTTCCCAAATAGATGAAATAGTATATAGTAGATTTGTGATCTTGAGTGTCATCAGCCCAATCTAAATTGGAGAAGGTTGTCAACCGTAAATTTCCCTTTTGAATAAGAAGACCGTAATTGGCGGAAGAGTGTAGGATTGCTGAATGATTTCTGTAATTCAGGGCCTAAAGGGGGTTTTGAGGGTAAAGGATTGGAGAGAGACTTGAAAGATGTCCCCTTAAATGTACTGCTACTGGATTAAGTGGTAGTTAGTCAGGTGACTATGATATCTATGCCAAGGAATCGAGTAAGGTGTCCAAGATTTCTTAAATTGAATCTAAGCTGAAGCGTATGCAGCAGCTTTGAAACAAAAGATCAGTCATTGCCCATGATTAATATATCAACATAGATGAGTATGTAAGTATGAATGTTGTTATGGTTTTAGATCATTAGAGATGAGTTGGTGGAGCTTGAATAAAACCATGGAGAGTAAGGTAAGAGAAGAGAGTAACAAACCACTATCGTGGTTTTTCTGCTTAAGTCCATAGAAACCTTTCTCTAGTAAACAAACATAATTAAGATGTTGTAGATCTTAAAACCCTTGTGGTTGAGACATATAAACATTTCATTGAGCTTCCATAGAGAAAGGCATTAGCCAGTAAAATTGTCCGGTTGAAATGCAAGGCAATTGTAAGAAATAATCTAATAGTTGAGAATTTGGCAACCAAACTGAATGTTTCAAAGGGAATATATATCATATTCTAGTTTATATCCTTCAGGAACAAGCCTAGCTTTATGTCGGGCAATAGAACCGTTTGAGTTGCATTTGAGTTTAAATATTCATTTGCAACCAACAACATTGAAGGGTGGTTGAGGTGGAACCAAAGTCCATGTGCCTTGCGATTGAAGAGCATGAAATTCGTGGGACAAGGCTTTGCATCACTCAGGAAATTTGATGGCCGAAGAAAGGCAAGTTTGGTTGCGATGTAGACTGTGATTAAGATCTAGGATGTGGCGAGGTATGAGGGATTATGTTTGTAGCCGAGTAACCATTGGTGGCGAGAAGGTATAGGTGGGGAGGATGTTGAGGAGGGGTTGGAGTTTGGAGACATTGTGGATAAAGAGACAAGAGAAGATGGTTTGGGAATTTTTTGAGGATGGCCTGGAGGTATAATGGGAGGGAGTGAAATTGATGGAGAAGAGGAAGGTTGGAGATAAAGTAGAAGAGGATGGTGTAGAGACTGGTGGAGCAATGGATTCATCAAACAGGACATGTCTTGAGACAATAATGTGACCTGAAGACAATAATGTGACCTGTAGTGCAGTTGTAATATTAATAGCCTTTTTGATTGGTAGCATAGACAAAGAAAATAGGAACAAGGAGCCCGTTTATTTGGAGAGTACTATTTAAGCTAGGGGTAACAACAGCAACCAAAAACACGAAGATGATTATACATAGGAGAAATATTAAAGAGAAGTTGAAATGGAGAGATAAAGGATGTGGTATGAGATGATAGTCTGTTGATGAGATATACAACAGTGAGAAGGTATCAACCCAAAAATGTGCAGTTGGGCTTGAAGGAGTAGAGTACAAACAATTTCTAATAGATGATAGTGTTTGTGTTCGGCAATGCCATTTTGCTATGGCATATATAGACAGGTTTATTGGTAATGAATGCCAAGATATCTTAAGAAGGATTGAAGAGTGCTGTTAAAGAACTTGCCACCTTCGTCAATACAAAGTGTGCATATTGTTTTGACGAGTTGTTTTCAACAAGAGTTTTGAATATTATAAATGTATGTGGTGTTTCATATTTATATTTCAATGAGTATATCCAAGAATAGTGAAAGAAATCATCAACAAATAGTAGGTAAAATTGAAAACCATTATTTGATATGATAGGGGATGGTCCCCAAACAGCAGCATTTATAAATTCAAGCTGAGAAGAATAACTAGTTGATTCATTAAAAGGTAATTTGTGACTCCAAGAGCACAAAAATTACAAAATAAAAAAGATGAAATACATAATGGAGGAAAATGTTTGGAAATAACAGTGAGCATTCCAAAACATGGATGACCCCATCCATCGTGCCAAAGTGTGGAGGAAGATGTAACAGTGCGAATGTGAAGGCAACAGCTATAGGAGAGTTTGAATTCATGGAACTAGGAGAGTGGTTAGAGACCATTATGGCAGAGCCCCTGGAGAAGAATGTGATGATTCATCTGATCCTTAATTGTGTAGCCAAAGTTTTCAAAAGAAATTGAATAGTTTTTACCATAAGCAGGATTAGATATAGAGAGAAGCTTACGTGAAATATTAGGAACATATAGAATAAGAGAAAGTGAGAGCAAATGCGAAGGAGTTGGAAGCAAGCCTTTTCCTGAGTGCTAGATAGGTAGAGTGGTTCCATTGACAACCAATACTTGCTCCACGCCTTGATATGCAAACAATTGTTCAAGAGATTGTATGTTTGGAGTTAAATGTGCAGTGGCTCCGTTGTCTAGGTCCCAGGGGTTTGTGGGGTTTGTTTCAGCAAGAAGAGCATGATTGTTTGGATGAGCTGTGGGAGTGAATTGAAGATTTGTACAGTGAAAAGGTGAAGGTTGAATGTCCGCGTTTGCCGCAGATCTGACAATCTGTAGGAAAACAATGAGTGGATGTATGCAGCAAAGGAGATGCGGACGTGGTGAACTATAAAAGCTAGAGCGACCGCGAGCACAGAAGAAATGTCCACAGCCACGACCTCAGGTGTAGGATCGATAATGGTTAATTCTCTGGCTGCATCAGTTGCAAGATTCACTTCCTCACTGCAAAGAAAGTAATAGAGGTCATAGAGACTAATTGGAGTGAGCTTAGTTTTGATGGCATTCTTGAAGGCTTGAAAATTTACGGGAATACCATTGAGCATATAGAAACATCAATTGTAAATTGTAATGTTTATAACAATTGATGGGTTTGCTGGTGTATTGGTGGAGGAATTTGTAGACTCAGCCATAAGAATAACTAGTAGGGTTGTTAAGCAAGACGTTTTGATACCATGTAGAAAACTGTTGATGCTCGGATCTAACTTGAGAAAGGAGATAGCAAAACTCGAGCCTAGGAGAAGATGATACTTGACTATAAGATAACAACCAGCATAAAGTAAAACAAAGGAGAACAGAAAAAGAAGAGAAAACAAGAAGCAGGAAAATATTTTATGATTGTATTCAGTCGTTTCTATTTTATTGCTATTTTGTTTTACATGTATATATAGATGAGTGATATTCATAGCGTAAGTAAAAAATTTCCCTTTGGTGTGACTCTGATCAACAGTGCTAATATAACAGCAGGAGAAGGTGGCTGCATATACATCTGACAAGCTGCAGAAGGAATTATAGCAAGGAGTGAAAAGATGGGGTTGAATTTGTATGCTGATTTATCAATATGAATGAAAGTTCAACAATTTCACATCTTTAATTATTGATGCTCCAATTGTTAGTTTTGTGTGAAATCTGATTGAGTCAATAAATAGGTTGTACTTTTGTCTCAGAGCTGAATACCATCAGTCAAGCCCGATAGGGGGTTGCAGTGGTAGTGCTCCCCTGCTTAGGGTCGAGGACCTTCCCCTGGAAAAACTTTTTGTCAGTGCAAGAACCGTAGCATTGTATGCTGGAGCGCTACAACCATGGTTGTAAAACCGAACCAGACGTCGAACCGAAAAGAAGAAATGTTCAAAGTTCAATGGTTCAACAAGAGTTAAACCGAGGGCTAAACCAAAAGATGTAATAAATATTATAATTATTTAAATAAAAAATAAATGATATAATAATTATATGATTATATAAATTTATGACTAAAAGTAAATTTAGTTTATATAAACTTATAAATTGAATATAAACTATTATTACTTATGTTAAATTTAATATAAATTATTATAAACTATTATTAATTTATGTTGTATATTTAGATAAAATTCACAACCATAAATTCTATATTAAATTCACATTAAAAGAAGAGATTCAGGAGTCTTACTATTTTGTTTATGCCATAAATAAGTTCTCTTAGAAGAA